TCTTTTCTAGACTTTGGTGATTAACAGAGGGTGTTTTCTGTCTTGTTATTTCTTGGTTCCTATATTGTTACTGAAGAACGGAATATAGGTGCGGGGGAACAGACTAGGCTGAATAATGTTCCTTGAGTTGGGAGTGTACTAGTATTGTCTCCTCTAGCCATGTTGCGATTCACATGCAGAAGATGCAGCCCAAGGATAATTCATGTCACCTTCACACATTTCACCCAGCGCCAATAGCAACTTGATAGCCACAAACTGTTTTCCTCCTTCTCTATAATATTATTCCGCTACCCAGGGTCAACCTTGTTCCCTTTGGCCATTTGTCTAAACTCCATAAAACGTCATTTAGAAACCGCCCTTATCTCCAAGAGTCTCCTAATCAGCTGCAGGAGCTGATGTCCTGATCCCGATTCCCTTAGTTCCACCATAATATCATCCAATCGCTCGGCTGCGTCCTCACTCAGATATTTGAAATCCAACCCCCGTTGTGCCATTATCGTGACTGCGTACTTCAACCCGGTGAAGTCCTTGGATGCCTTCCGCTCCACCCAGGCAGTCCCCTTCCCGATTGCAAGGTCGATCGGTGTTGCTACTGGGATGCCATTGATCAGAGTATACCCTTTCAGCTCGTGTATACAGTCCCCATCGCCCTTTTTATCGAGAAAATCTATTTTAACCACAAAATCGTAGGAAGAGGTGTATTCCCATGGCCCTAATACTGTCTCCGCGAAGTGGTTATCGTGTTTGGCGAGATTTATAAACTTGTTGTAAGAATCGGCCGTGACCGCTAGGTCTGCATCCTCGGTCCTGATGTTTGCACCGTGAAAAAGGAGGGCTGCCTCTCCGATAACGACGAAATTTTCGCGGTGGTCTTCACCCAGTATTTCCCAAACAGCGCAGGCTGCTTCCATTGCTGCTAATTGGACCGGAAGGAGGGGAGATGACTGAGGCAGGGCATGGACAAAAGGTGTTTGATTTGAGGTAGACATAGAGGAGACTTTTGTTTGGAGGTTTGCTGGGGAGGACAGAGGATAGAAATGGAGATGAAGTTTCTGCTTTCGACACATAAGCGAAGAGGATGCTTTTTGAGTATATCAACCCGGAAACTGTTCGTCATGGGCTGCGTATGCACCTCGGGGTAACTTGGAATGTAGGTGGAAGAGCGGCATGAGATCGCCTGATTGTTATGAATATCGAAGTCTTGGTCACTGGTAATGATATCCGAGGATCAGAATGTTACTCTCTTACCACCATTACTCCGAACGGTCCAGCCGGTCCATCATGGAGGCAGGGCTGGATGGGCTTCCAGCTTAGAGAACAAAAGAATGTCCGTATGATAGATACTAGGAGATGAGAATTCAATATCTCTCGCTTATGCTTGCTTGCCGACCCGGTTTCAACAAGCATTAAACAATAACAAATCATAAATCACAACAATGGGGATACTCATCTCCCGCCCCTCCTCCCAAACACAAATCCCAAATTACCACGACATGCTCATCAGCGCTCATGAGGAGAAGAGAAAGTTAGTTGATTGTTTAGTCTAGTGAGAGAGATAAATATTGCCAAGTACAAGAAAAAGAAAGGAGTGCAGATGAAGACATCGCCCTTCAGCTCTATATCATTCGGCTGACGCTTATCAGTATGTAGGTACTTTTGCAGCTATTTCCAACTCCCAATTGGCTACCTCATCCGAGTGATCATTCATGACTGCGGGTATAGCCCTTAGCGAGGACTATGCCGGTTTGGGAGCTAGATACCGGTATACGGAGGTATAGCCCTTAAGTATTATATATTTCACTAGGAGGCATCTTGGATTAGCAGGGGTCATGGGGTGAATCGGGGCAGTCATCATACTTAATCGGGTAGTCATCATATCCGATTCCATACTTTTACCCCTTGTGGCCGAACATCCATCCCTAGTGAAATATACAATACTTAGTGGCTATACCTCCGTATTTCTTCCAAACATGAGCTCCAGCCCCGTACCGGAACTCGAACGTATCATAGGCTTGGCTTTACTTGACAGCTCTGACGCACACCATTTTGGATTACCGATAAGTTAACTTAAATTAGGTTGTTGTCACGTGTCTCAAAGACGGCCTCCATAACCATATGATTTCCACCACCCTAGCCGCCAAAGCCACAGTTTTTCTTGCAACCCCTCTTCCTCATCACTGAAACCGCCCAACTACTTCATTACGGTATCCCTACTACCACCCTCGTCAAACCTAGCATATTACCCGTATTCACCAAAGCTGAGAAATCTATTATCATCCACCACGGGTATTGTCGAGAGATCAGATGGCACAAGCGTGGTCACCCAGTGCTCGTTCCCTGGAAAGCGTTTTCCATGTTCTAAGCGACCACGATCACCCGTTTGTTATGGTTGGAACATATGCACTTAAATGGATGGGAGTTGGATTGCATACAGGATATGTACTTACTACTCACCCCTTTATGATTTCCTGCTTCCTATTGCTAACATTGCAGGGATAGATAATGGATATCCTGGCGAGAAACTCACAAGCGGCTTCTATACACCAGTCATTAGCCCAAACAAGTGGATGGATGGAGGTCGACGATGCAAGTATTCCGGGGCTAGTTTCAACGGCAGAACGTGAGGAGCAACGCTCCGTTGGCCGATTCAAGAGGCTGGATGATCACTGGTATATTTCTCTTTGCACCGAGGACACCTACAAGCTGCTGGTCGCCACCGAGAAAATCCGAGTGCCGCATCCCATTAGCTGGAATGCTGGGTTGGTGGAGTCCGAATTTCACCCGAACCCCACAGATCGCCGAGTTAAGCCCTATCTTATTACCGATAAAACCATCAAATTCGTGGGAGCCGAGCCAGTCGCCTTCCCCGCTTTTATACCAACCATCCCCCAATATCTTGACTCATGCCTGAGCTGTACCGGGGGTCGGAGCCACGTTGATGATGAATCCTGTATTATTCCTGAATCCGACCTGGACTATTTGTCAAGGTATCTTGCCCTCGATTCGCCCCACCAGCAGAATAAAGTTCTATCCAAGGTTCATCAGGCCAAGCTGTTGGAAGAGTATTTTATGAACCGCCGGCGGCGCCAAGAATCGAGGATGAAAAAGATCCTGGAGAGGCGTAGGAAACGTTCACACTTAAACCCCAGACCACAAGTTCCTTTCGTGATGCCCGACTTGTGAGATTGTGTTGGGTGGCGATCGCATCACAATGTGGAGTGGTTCTTGTTTTCGTTGGCCGTAATTTTCGACCTTCCGGTTTCTTTCTGCGATAGCGCCACTCGTTAAGATCGGAAGCTGTTTCTTTTCTGCAATCTGGCAATTGACAAAGGGAGCTTTTCATGCTGTTTCCTATTTCCTATGCGGAAGCTGTTTCTTTTCTGCAATCTGGCAATTGACGGAGGGGGTTTTTCATGCTGTCGTTTCCTATTTCCTATGTTGTTACTGGAAGACTGCATACATGCACTGTGGCGTAGAGGGGGTTGAATAAGGTTCCTTGCCTTGGGCGCGCACTAGCATTGTCTTCTCTATCCATGTGGCGATACATATGTGGGAGATCAAAGCCCAGGCACAATTCATGTCACGTTCACACATTTCACACTGTGCCAATAGCTACTTGAGAGCCGTAAACTGATTTTCTTCCCTCATTCTAACGGGATTATGTCATGCAGAGCTCAGATAAATAAATCCGCATTTTCTATTGACCTGGGACCACTGCAAGTGCAGTGCTCAAGTATGTGGTTTCGTGGCGTAGCTGGTTCTACACCACCTTTAGGTTGGAAAATCTACCTCTCCAACATTCGATATGCCCCTATCAATCGGACGAGATCAAGCAATCAGGTCAACGCAGATAATAGCCCATGAGGAAAGGTATGATACCGCCGAGGTATGATAATAGGAGATCGTGGGCTGGAGTGGGGGTGAATATGCGGTTGTGAGGGTGAGCGGAGGGTTGAGGGTGAGGAATCGAGGTGAATAGGGGTTGTGGGAGTGAGGTGGAGGTGAATAAGGGGTTGGGAGGTTTCGAACTCAAGGAGGGTATGGGGGATTAACTACTGTGCCTCTACGTATTCCGCTTATGATACCAGTATCATACCTGAATCTTTAAAGTCAGTGAAGCCTACACTAATATGGAAGTTTTGGGCAAGAACACAGCGTATGATGCGAGCCTATCAGGACGGTATTGCCTACGGAGCTGCAGATTTTTGAGAAAAGGTCTCAAAAACCTATCGCAGTCACAGAAGAGTGTCAAACTCTCAAACTGTCAAATTAAATTAACTATGTATAATAATAATATTATTATCTGGATTACTTGAATTTGATATTGTTGCGAATTGTATCTTAGAAAGTGATGAATTTTATTGTCGGAAGAAGAGTAGTAAGAAAAGAAAAAGAAGGTGTAGAACAACATGAAGCAAACTCTGGGAAAAAACACCGGAAATCGTCTGAACTACGGAAACGCATACGCAGCACTCAGTACGTACCCTACGCACATTCACCGTAACAGATATATCATGCGTCCTCAAGTTCTACTGCTTCATGACCTGTCACTTAACAGCCTGGCAATTTTATTGCACAGCCACGGTTGCATCGGTTAGTGCCACCTGGTTTGCGGTCTTTCATTCTTGCACCATACCCCGGGATTTCTTGTGCACCGGGATTGACCGCTAGGTCCAAATCCAAGTTAGTTCGGAAGTTAGGTCTATTCGAGGACGGTGCTTGTACATTTTCTTGGGGAGGGGCTATCCGTTGGCATTGCAGAGACGGACTGATTTTATTTCCCTAGCTGTTGAATGTCTGGTATCATACAATAGTGGCTAAAAAAATGCGTTGTCATAAGTGGATAATTCTTGCCCCACTAGGTTAGTTTTGAGGGGTCGAAGGAGAGTGGAATCGTTTGATATTGAGAAAGGTGAGAGGGAGAAGGCATTAGAATACTTAAGTGCTCACGAGATCGTGTTAATACAAGTGGTGCAATACTATAGAAACAAATATCAAGACGGCTTAAAACAAGGTATCGCTAGTTATATTCACGCTTCATTTCTTCCTGCTCCAGCGCCGGGCTAGCGCGTAGAAGGCCCCGCCTCATCTACCCAACTCCTCTGCTTGTTCCTCCGTTCGTACTCCTGCTCCTCCAGGCTAGCTTTCTTCACATACTCCATGATAACCTCCTCCTCTGCCTTCCTTCTCAACTCTCTCTCAATCTCTAATTGCTTGCTTTCCTCAATTATCCTTTGCAATTCAGGGTCACCAACACCATCTTGGGTATCGGAGTATTCCCTCATTGGTGCCTTCTCATCCCTTATGCTCTCTCTGAGGGCTCTTTCTAGCTCTTCATCCTGTGTGTCTACCTGTGTGTTGTGGCCCGAATCTCCATCTAACAGGCTATTTCGCAATGCCTCCTCCAGAATTAGGTCGTTGGGAACATTTGTTCCATCACTTCTCTCAGCCTCAGCCGCCGACGCTCTGATAGCCCTCTGATAGATTTCCTCCTCGGATTCCTCAGAGTCGCTGCCAACCGCCCCATGCATAGAAAGGCTCCTCCCTCCCTGCAGCTCGGCGATGCTAACACGAATTGCTCTTTCAACCGCTTCATCCTCCCCAGAATCACCATTTGAGGTTATCTTAACCGATTCCTTAATGGCTTTTTCAAGCTCTTCATCGTCAAAATTGCCAACATGTGTAGTAATGCTTTGTGGGACAGTTTCAGCTTCTAGTGGTTCACTTCCTTTGACTTTCGGTTTCCGGTAGCGACAAAGAAAGCTGGTAGAACTGGCTCCTTTGCTCCTCACTTTCTTGAACTTGCCAAGACCTAAATTATGCCACCTGTCAATTATCCGGTGTTGTAATTGCGAGCTGGATTGTTGGAATTCCGCCTCTGCAATAGCAATTCTTGACCCGATTATGAGTTTATCTACGTCCGATACCTGAAGCTTCTGTATCTCTCTATGAATGCCTTTCATAGTATATCCGGGGACTCCCCAGAAGGCTACCATAAGAGTAAGTTAGTATCTTTACGATAGCAAATGATTGAGTAAGACGGGGTAATACCGGCTCCGCCTTTTAATACTATTCCACCAATACCCTTCCCAAATCCCTTGAATAATCCCACAGCCCCCTCCTCCTTGGCCCCTTGAATGGGTTGGGTGACAAGCCCGGAAACGCCATCGTAGAGACCAAGCCCTAGCCCCTTCCCCGCCGCTCTCAAGCCGCTGTGAAATCCCGTTACCTTCTCTAGGGACCTTACAGTGTTGTCGCCATATAATTTTGGGGCATTGTGGAAACCTTGCGCAAGGCTAAGCGTAAAATCCATCGGCGCTACAAATACCTCTGGTTAGTATGACCTAAGACTCAGTGTTGGTGTGGGCCTCAGTTGGCTTACATTTCAACCCAGCTTCCACTATGCTACTAACACTCCGGCTTGCACCAATGGCGGTGTCGCGATCCATAAATCCTGCCTCACGCTCGCCCAGTTCTGGAGAAGTGAGCTTCTCACCAGAATCTTTCCCACTTTCCGCAGTAATGATAGAGCTAGCTGTGACGGGGACGTCACTTGCCCTTTCGCCTCCAGAGAATAGACTAGGAACAGCCTCTCGATGAGAGCGACCGTGGGGCTTCGCTTTCCGAAATTGTTTGAAAACACCCTTCGGGAAATCTCCAAGGCCCATCATGACACTCCCAAGAGTACCAACTAGCGCACCAGTGGCACCACTTATTGGCTCAAAGGGACCAGCATCCGTATTCCAATCTTTGTGCCTGCAGAGCTTCAAGCCGTTCCATCCACCCTCTATTTTCCCATTATTCACCAATATACTGGCCACGTAAGAACTGAGCGGGACATCCGTGGCTTTGACTCTCCAGGTTGCAACCTTCGTATTGTCGACCATACACCTGTAGACCCCTCCCTCACCGGGTTGTCCGCCCAGCAAACTCAGGAAGGACTTCGCTCCTACCTCAGTGCCGTTTTCATCTCTGATTCTGGCACCAAGTTCCCCTGCTCGCTCTTGTGTTTGAGGACTTGTTGCCATTGATATGTTATCCGCTAGTATGTCCGCCGTTAGCTTCTTGAATGGTGTTGGCCCAGGCCCCGCACCAGCCCCTGCTACCATACTCCCCCAAAATGGCTGGTCACCAAAGAATGGAACGATAACAGTGGGTTTACCACATCTTATGCCGGCTGCAGTGGTGCCAGCTCCCCCGTGATGAACAACTGCCAAGCATCGTGGGAATAACCAATCATGCGGGCAATTTCCTAACATCATGACCCCTGGTGGTAGATCTAATTGGTCACCTCCAAGCCCCCCCCACCCCTTAGACACTAAAGCGCGGACCCCGGTTTTGCGCACAGCAGAAAATATCATATCTGTCAAAGCGTTAGGATCATCGACCACGATTGACCCGAACCCAATGTAAACCGGGGGCGGGCCTGATGCTAGGAAGTCGGCAAGATCTGGCGGGGGTATGTACGACGATGCCAAAGAGAGGAAAAAGAAGCCGCTGATGGATATATGTTGAGGCCAATCTAGTGGCTTGGGGATAAGAGCTGGAGACCAGCAATACGTATGTGGGACCTTAAGTCTGGCGATCATCCCTGGAGCCCACATAGTGCTGATAGGATCTAGGCCCAACTTCTTTGCGCGGAATTTGTTTACCAGGTCACCTAGACTATTCATCTCGTCAGTGGGATCACTCTTGGAAAAGGGATGACTAACCCTTGCCAAGTCATCATCTCCACAAGTATGTAACTGAGAAAATTTGTTACCGCGCCCTCAGCATTAGAGCTCTGGATATTTGCTAACGGATGAGGAAAAGCAGTCGTTGGTGACCAAGGCATCCTGAGAGAAAGTTAGTATGTAATTAAGATTATAATTATTTTCCCCTATCGAATACGTACGTAAACATTAGGTGCAAAGGTACTCCTAGCTTTTCAGCGCAATGAATATGCCCAAAGCTTGGAGGGTTAGCAATAATAGCGTCTGCCACAAAGGGCTTCGCTCCACTAGAAGCCAAGTCGAGAGAATAGGAAGTTCCATCACCAGGTTCAATACCTAAGACACCGAGTTTCAGTCTCTAAAAATACATGGGTAGTCATTGACGTTATCAATGGCCTCAATCGAAGTTGAGAGTGCGCGAGATACTCACAAGCTCTCCAACCACCTACAAGCACATCCCACATTGCCTTTCTTCTCTTTGTTACATCCCCATTCTTTAGGCTGTCGAAACCAGGCATTAATCCAGGATTTTTCACCATGAATGCCATCTTGATATATATTAGCACCAATTCACGCAAAGTCGCATACCGGTCATGGGGCATGAGATAAGAAACACACGGCCTAAACTCACAAGTTCTGAGGGATCGCCGCTTAGGGAAAAGAACTCTAGGCCATTTTCCTCAACAAACTCTTTGAATGTCGGATGTGTAGCAACCCTAACCCTATGTTTATACCCATTTTTCAATACCTGACCGAGCGCAATAAAGGGCTGCACATCCCCCCTACTCCCAATTATTTGTATGAGTATATTGAGAGGTGGTACGTTCCTGGCAAATTCAGGAATATCGAAACCAGGAACCGGCAAATCGATAGGTTTTCCATGCAGTGCACGATCCTTTGCTTCCTCGGCCAGTGCCAGTTGTCCCCTCATTGCCGGAGCCAGAAGCGATGATAGAGTCGCAGTCCTTTGATTGATGTTAATGTTGATCCGGCCATCATCTAAGTGCGAACGTTATTATGTTGTTAGCTAAGAACCATCAGATAAGGAGAGGGGCGAGTCCTGAACAAGGGGGATAGCCAACCAGCAATCTTTGCATTCGTCTCCATCTCGTCCTGCTCTATATCAAGTTCCCCGTATATTTCCGAAAACGCCGGAGGGGGCGAGGAAGGCGGGTCCCCTTCAAGCTCGGAGATAAATTCTGGATGGCCATCTGCAAAGCTGCCGTGATGTGGACTAACTAAAGGCCCAGCTGGTACCGAATCTATCGAAGGCAATGGGCTATATACTGGAGGAGGAGTATTGCGGTTGGACAGATGAGCCGCATCACCTTCGTGTGGAGATTGATGAGGAGGGATTGGGGGGGGGGTTCGCCTGCCTGTCAGAGATCGGTCGTCCGACATCTTTATTAGCGGGCCTAGCTAGAGATTGATTAGATTCCTATTGGGAAACTAAGCTGATTCGGTTGTTCGGGAACTTAGCCCTACAATTTTTGATTGAGAAGAGCCTCAGGTCCACGCGAGTGGTTTTTAACTGTGAATACTGCGAGTTCGGTGGAAATTAAGGGTTTTGAGAATGCGCCGACGAGCAAAGACCTTCCCTTTAAACTATGCTTCTGGTTGTGATCGTATTATATTAGGATAGGGATGGCCTTGATATAAAGCCCGGTTCGCTAGATGACGAAACAGCCAAGCTTTATCACGGTGCGCAAGGACGGTGATCTTCAGTCGCGCGTGGCTGGGGAGTGGCAAGGGCTGGGGAGGCAACGTCAGCAACCACAGTACTAGCACAGTGGCTGAGTCGAATTTCGGATTTCTGACGCAGAGTGAAAAGACACGAATAGGGCGAGGGAGAGCTGAGGGGTTGCCTGTGGCTTTCGTGTTACTTCAATTGAAATACCGCAGCAAATTAAAAAAAAGCCCAACGGACCATTTCATGTATGATAATGTTATTATATTTACCACCGCTCGAACCGGGGAGCGAGGGCGCCCTCCCGGGAAAGGAAAAGTTAACTTGCCGAATAAAGGCGATCACGCAAAATACTTTTTAGCCGTTCTATGGAAAGCGGAGTCGCGGAATTAATGCCGCGAATCATCTGACAACACAGTGCCAAAGGAAAGCTAATATAGCCTGTAAATATTCGAACTCATTGTGAGGTACAAGTGACTCTTAACATGTTACACTGAAACCACTTCTTATAACAAATTTTATGTTGTTCGATCAAAAAAGAGATGTCATAGCGCAAGCATTCCATAGGCTCAATTGATAGACAAATCTTGAGCGAATGAGAATAAGGAACGGAGATAAACGGTGGGTGAGAAGCAAAGTAGATTACTATACCTCCGGGGTCTACTCGCTCCAGTACCATAAGCGCACAACCCGACAGCTAAATCTCTCACTCGAGACACACTAATTGGAGATAAGTCCTGTTTGCCCGAGAGCCCAATACCTATCAGCCAACGTATAACACTTTACTCTACCCTATATCTCATGTGCTCGGAAACCCCAGCAGCACCACACAAACGACTTGAACTATCAGATTCAGGAAGAATAGGAGCATTTATCACGGATAAAATCTAATCTTACTAATAGCAATCCGAGTCCCAGCGGCCGTAACTATATAAGAGGCAGAAGCTGCATCTGTGTAGTCCCGCACCTAAAATCCCATCACCTATTAAGTGTTCAAAAATAGGCTAGACACCAACTCCTTTTTTGTGAGAATGCAATAAAACAACTAGATCTAACCATGGTCTAGTGTTTCTCTCGAGCCAACATATCTCACGAGCCGAGCGGGCTCGAGCTTTTGAATAGACTTTCGGTTTTGTCCTATTAGATGAGGTGAGAGGGGAGGAGATAGGTACGATACCTCAAAAGAGACCCGGCGGATGCAGATTGGCAGAGCAGAGGGATTTTGGGAGCTAAGAACATCAGTTTGCTCGGAGAGTCGTTTGCATCCATTTGGAGGCCTAAAAGTGACTGTATGATGTCGCAATGATGTCGCAGATGTACTGCCGGCTATCTAGTATCTATCATAAAATGATATCATAGGAACTGGCATTGAGAAGGGTAGGGGCCGAAAAAGTTTCAAGATCTTTTGCGGTGCAAGTCCTCAGATGAGGGTCAACCAGTACCTTCCGTGGACCAGCGCTCTCACTGGCGCATATGGGTCCTTGCTTTTCACTCCGCATCCTGTTCCCCCCAACCCGCCGAAAACATTAACGAGTGAGAGGTGATGATTACTAACAAATGTTACATTTAAGCCGGTGATTGTATTGCCCAGCTCGTGATAGAAAAAATCAATATCACAGACGTGATAGAAATAGACAATCCGGAGGAAACTGAAAGTGGCACAGCAGGATTCAGCAGCACAGACATCACAACAAGGGCTATGACTATCCAGCAGTTGGAACCAATAGTAAGTCTACTGCAGGTATCAATGGACCAGAATAAACACTGGGATGATGTAATGGAAGTACCTGAGTGAACCCTTATGACCAGCACAATTCTAGCCTGCAAAGAGTTAAAGAAATTTAATCTCAAATTTTAAGAGCAAATCCTAAAAGTCATTCCCAGGGATAAGGATTGGCTAAAGAGAAGAAAGATTGGAGAAGTTACTAGACAAATAACCAACCCTTTCCAAAGGATTGAACCCTAACTGATGATTTGCTTTACTATAAGCAAAGATTGTTTGTATCCAAAAATGAGTGCCTCTATACCACAATATCCAAAAAATGTCATGATGCTAAGATAGCAGGACGTTTTAGACAAGAAAAAACTCTAAAAATAATCATGTAAGAATTCTATTAGAAAGGCCTGGCAGGTTGGATAAATGACTACTTGTGGTCATGTGATTATTGTCAACAAAATAAATTGCCATGCCACACAAAATACAGCATACTACAACTACTATCAATACCATATGCAGCTTGGACATCTATCTCTGTGAACTTGTTAAAAATACCAGGATCCGATACCTAGAAATCACCCTAAGTAGGGTAATCCCACTTGGAGAACTGAAATCCTTGTCTCCAACACCCCCCTCTGGCCCCCTTACAGGGCCCACACATCATCACACATATCAATCTCAGTTGCGTCCTGTGACTATAATACCACAAAATTGAAGATGTCAGAATAACACTATATACATTGCCACTGTCTATCTGACCAGATCTTGTTCACAGGATATATGATAGTGGACCTTCGGCTAGGTCTGGAAAGTGGAGTAGAGCAAATCCGTCAACTACACAGAGAGTTACTAGGTTTCAAAGATGTGATATTATTGGCATTGGCTGTAGGTAACGGGACGATTTTGCACGAAGAGATAGTATCGAATAGTAAAGGATCTCAATGTGAAACCAATACATTCGCATCCATTGTCAAAGAGCCAGAAGAGTTTAGAACTCTGAGGAACACTCCTATAGAAGTCAATAGACTTCACGGATTGTTGCAACTAGGTTTCGGGACATGACGTAGCTACAGGGATGACGTCCAATACTATAACAGCGATTGAAACCCTGTTACCCAGAGCAACTAAGGGTTGCCAATGGAGGGATTATTTGTCAATCTAGTGGAATAGCTTCCTGCGAATTAGTAGAAAGTTTTCTGAAAGATATCTATTGGTTGAGTAAAGAGTTATGAAGGTTTGAAGTCAGATAACCTAGAAAGGTTGTGATTATGACTACCTTCATAGATACAACCTGCACATGAAACCGATCATTTCATCAATGACAGAGACAATTGGGGCCAACTCAGCTCAACTCAAGAACTAGGCCGTAAGTCAAGGACTCTGATAATCGGGTAATTACTATTGGGAACAGCATGGTTCCTAAATAGTTATATCATAATTACCAAAGAGGGTGTGATGATTTTCAGGGTCTCTAGGTGTTCGCACCTTTGAAGGAAACCCAACATTGCAAGTTGTAATCAGAAGGGGTACATAGTTGTATGATAAACAGATGTAGTCCACAAACACTCAGACGTAGAATATAAATGTCGAAGTGCCTCCCAAGCTTTAGACATCATCGAGCAATGGAGAAGAGACCTTAACTATATAATATTGTTTGTACGATTCTATCTTACTTTACCTATTCTACTTCGCTCTTAGTAGTCATAAATGAAATAAGTGAATCCAAGCCTTCCTAGACAATCTCCGTTTACAGAAACAAATCTTGGTTGACCTAAATAACTCTGAAGTCCGTCAGGTTGTCTCTGCCTAACAGAACTTCACTATGCAACTACCACAAAGTCAAGGATGTTGTAACTGGTCTGGGTACTCAGTTAAAGGTTTTGTTTTTTGTTTTGTTTTAAGTATGGCTTTGATACTTGGTTTGTTTTAAGTATCATTTGATACTTGATTTGTTTTGTGTTTTGTTTTAAGTATTGCCTTGATATTTGATTTGTTTTAAGTATTATTTGATCTTTGATTTTGTTTTATGTTTTGTTTTAAGTAACATTTTGATACTTAAGTGGTTTTACCAAAGTGTATCGCTTAATACCTTTCACTAGTTTCATTCATGCTAAACATGAATAGATTTGTATATTTAAAGACCACCTGATTCCACAATGGAAAAGGCAG